CATAATCCAGTCGACAGCCAGAATAAAAAAAGGGGGGAGAGTAAGCAGCCTTGTCTGACTCCAGTCCTTACTTGGAATGCATCTGTCAGTTGTCCTCCATTCACGACTTTGCAGTGTAGTCCGTCTTAAGAGTTCCGTATGATCGAGACGGTTTTCTCAGACACTCCTTAGTGTTGAAAATTCGACAAGGTTCTCCTATTCACGCTGTCAAATGCCTTCTCATAGTCAAGGAAGTTTATGTATGGTGATGTGTTCCATTCAATTGATTGTTTAACGGTGATTCTTGGCGTGCAAGACCTTCCCTTAAAAATTTGGCCTGTTTAACTGACATCCCTGCACCTAGTGGTTCATTCATTCGGCTTAGAAACACTGTTTAAATTTTTTCTTGGTACCGATTTTAGTATGATCCCTTTGTAGTCCTCACAATTGCTCAGATCTCGTTTCCTTGATGTAATAGAGTTAAAGTCTGTTAAAAATGCCAAACTACAAGGGTGTGAGTTGCAGCAATTTATCGTGTAACTCGGAGATTACGCAAAGTACAAACTAAGGCATACAGTCCTAATTTTTACAGTTTGATAGCACCACATCAGCGAATCGCTTCATAAATAACCAATCCCTACTTAAGTGTATTTCAACATTTAAAAACTTAAAATTATCCGTAACTTTCTTTCAACACCGGGCAGCCGAAAATCTACAAACCAAGCAAACTAGTCTATGCACTGAAGACAGTTATAAGATTTACTTTTTCAAAACCTGAGAGTCCTAACCACTAACCTTCCTAAAACGTCTCTGATGCATCAACAGCACCAGTAAAAACCTACCAGGAACCCCCTTAGAAATTGTGCTAAAAGCTTTAGCTGTCTGATTACAGAAATATAAGATAAATCTCAATCATCAATGCTTTTGGCTTACAACATGGATTCTTCTACAGAAGTAGTAGGTTGAAATACTCTCACCCATTTTAACCTAGTAGGTTATTTGTTAAATATGTGTCTTATCAACGCTAGGTCGATCTGCAATAAAAAAATGAATTTAGGCCTGTTTGTATCAGTCTATCAACCACCTCTTATAATGATATCTAAAGCATGGACTAACTGTAATATTTCCGATCTAAGTATATCTCTTGATAACTATTTCCTATATAGAAGTGATAGATTGAAAGGACGAGGCGGAGGATGCCTTATTTACACTCACCCTAGCTTAAACTCACTACTATGTGATATGCCTGAACTAAACAAACCGAAGGATTCGGTGTGGATTGTATTAAAACCATTGAATTCCGTTAGCTCATAGTTTGGCTGTGTCTACCGTCAACTTAACGCATCATTAGATGAAAATATCGAACGTATTCACACTAGCATCATCCCTTCCATTCACTGGCAAGCTTATTTGTGGTGATTTCAACATGCCATAAATTTCTTGGTTCCCAGTCAAGGCGCCGAAACGTTACGGATAAGCGAAAAGCCAAAGGACACAGTGTCGGGAACTGAAAGCAGACACTAAAAGGATCAATAGCAGCTGGAAACTACTGACAAGGACTGGCCAGGATGGAGCTTGACGGAGAGTGTTGATGAGTGACCTACGCTCCACCACGAGGGATAACAGGTGTATGTATGTAATCTAGTAATACAGGACGTTAATAAGGAAGAAAAGTAAGACTTCTACTTGAGATGATATGCTTTATAAAATTCGATAGGGTTGAGGTTAGGGAGATATACGTTTACCGTGACTTCTTTTTGAAGGGTTTTTTAACAACGACAGAGTTTTGCAGTTAATGTTCGTTCCCATATATCATAGTTCAAATTTCGATGTCTACTTATCCACTTTTATTCATCTGTTTGAGCTGTATCCAGTCGGATACTGTGAGTGTGTACTCCGGCCGAATAAACAGACGTTGGTGGCATACACATCAGAAGCGATAACGTTGTTTACTATTCTTAATAATACATAGGGTCTTATTGCGAATCTATACTGCCGCACTTAATTATTATGCTGGACAATTGCTTATGATACTCGTTTGCTAGCTTTAAAGTCTTTAATGTGCAATCATTTGTTTTACATGATCTCAACAAGTTCGCAAACAGTATGTGGAGTGTGGATTGCTGGCCAACAGCATATTAGTAGTAACAACCTTATTGTGTAATCTCAAGTGATTTTGTTAAAAGGCTATGTAGCAGCTGACTAACTACAGACTCATAATTATGTTAATGGTGTGAATGTACATTTCCTAATAAACATGATGGTCAAGCAATAATTAATGAAGGTCGTTTCAATTCTAAGTCATATGACTGCTTGAATTGTGGATGAGTGAAACCATTGCTTTTTCCTTAAAGCGAACATACAGGAAGGTGTTTTACATGAAAAACGGCATATTCCTAACATCTTACAATCGTTTCGTCCAACTAACGCAAATTGCAATCATTATGGCTATGTTATCTCTAATCTGCCTACAGATACTGGGTATTCGGAATTTCTTAGATTGAAGAACGATCATGATTCCTTAAGTCTTCGTCCCATCGTGACTCCTTGCATGATAGACGAATGTCAAAAATGACAGAACTCAAATTACAAAGCACCACTGGCCTTACAATTCGATGCTGTCCGTAATGAAGTAAACCACTGTAGCTTCAAAAAAAGGCAATGTTAAGGTTAGTTGGATACGCGTTACCATCCAGTATTTTGGTTAATGACTGTTCTAAATAAATATTATCATCCAGTTATTCAACAATTGATTGTTCAGCCATTAGTCAAACCAAATACAGCAAACAAACGTCTCTAATTACACCGCACTGGTATTTTGTTCTTTTTGAATAGATCACGTACGGAATTTTCAGAACTATAATATCCAATGTAGTTACGAAATTGTGTTTCTGGTTCTGAAAGAATGCTTAAATCCATAATGAAAAAATTTACGATTCCAGTCTATTCAAGTAACGTAGTTAGTCTGACAGCAGCCATAATAACTAAAACAGCATACATGTATTTCAGAAAATCTAAACTCAGTAAAGACGTAAGAAATGTAAACACTATAAATAAACATAAGTTGTAAAATCTCAAATAGAATCGAAAGGTTGACGAGCTTTACATCTGAGGGAATCAGGAAGAATGAGTCATGTCAGTGCGTACGGGGAAGAATTCTCATGAACAGAACCTTCCAAAAAAGGATCTTACAACCACAGCTTTGAAAGTTTGATAGACTACAATCTTAATGCTATCTCAGCCTCCTGAGTCTCACTGAAGCTAAAGAACTTTGTAAATATATAAATGTGAGACATTACTCTGGTTGTACGTTGTTAATAGCATTTTTTGTGCTACTACATTTGCAGAAATAGTATACATTTGCATCAACCTTAGATAATGCAGCTTCATGACACTCGGAATCAGTGGTCTTGTCAGTGTCTGAATAATCATAAAATGAAAAAAATCAATGCTTAGAATATCACATCAGTCAACATTGAATATATTATCATAATACGATATCTAAATTACGTAACCGGAACACGGCTCCAAGTTTATCCTTACTTTATACTCATGATGCAAGTCCCATGAACAATACAAGCCATTACGGCAGGTAAGTGAAGGCTAATATAAAGAAGTATATATGCGAAATATTGTTTGTTTTACAAACTATAGGATTCCTGCGGTCAATCTTTGAAGGTAGCATTCTTATGATGAGCCATCTTTTGCACTGTACAATTCAGTCTTATTTCAATGGTCAAATATTCATGCATCAAAATTTTTTAATCCGGCTTCAGAGGCAAAAATGCACTCCGATGAAAATGGGCAAACAAGTTTAATGTGATAAATAACCCAACATTTGCGGTAATCTAATGTTGCCTGCAAGTTGGCATCGTGTTACTCGGTTTCTGTTTCCGGTTCACATTAGAAAGGATTGGAGGATAGGTGGCCTGCTTTAGTCCTGACAATGGTGGTCTCACAACTGATTGAGCTTTCTTTTGAAGGTGTCGAGAGATGGAGCGTCAACCACTTTTTTTGGTTAATGAGTTCGAAAAGCTTTCAACATCGATATGGCCAAAGTTCCCACGTATTGACCATAAAGTTGTGAACTCTTTGTCAGCTATCGCTCGGCAATGTGCAGTAATTTTTAAGTCTTGGCGAACGATGACTCCTACGTCATTGTGTGTCTGGGCAATAGGCAGCTCACTGTTATTGATCGTAAATATATCTATATCTTCATGACCAATATGAATCACAATACATTTGGAAGTATTTATCAACAACTACCAAACTTCAGACCATTCAGACAATTTATTCAGGTCATTTTGAGGCTTTAAACTATCACATCTACTTTTTATTACTCTCCATATCTTGACATCGTCAGCGTGAAAGGAGAGGTGTTAAAATAATGTGTCTTTATGAGTAGTGATTGTGAGGTAGAAGTAAATAGTATGACATTTCGAACGAGTTCAGTGGGTTTATGTTCGTGTGATTAGTCAAGGCTTTCAGAATCAAGTAAGGTGAATGACTTTAGAATATGGGTCTCTTTAGCCCAAATAGATGACTTAATATTAGTGCACAGGATCCATAGAAATGAATTTGAACTTGGAATCTTTATTTATCCTACAAACAGCTTAATGCAACCAGATGATTAACCAAGCTGAATCAAAAGTGCGAGAGGACCATCTTCACAACTCTTGAAGGCTTTCCCACAGCAAACAGTAATTGCATGTTACCGCCTACAATGTGGCTGACTCCCAGGAGGATACGATACATGAAAAGCACGACATTTTAAACATAATTCTCGAGGCTTCTGTAGTCTGGGTCAAAAATGTAAAAAACAGCTTCTAACTAGTTGTGACTGATGAGTTAAACATCATAAAGGTTTCATTACCATTTTGTAATCTCCTTACTCAAGTAAAAATTAATAGTTTTAGGCTGACTCAAAACAAAGACATGAAATTTATTGAACCCTACAGGTACATTAATCCTTCTACATGTTTTGTGTTTTTATGTGTCGTGAAAGCCTTTATATTTGACCTACATCTCGGGCGCTAGGTTTGTGGTCGTTGCACATGGGAGTTAGTTGTGTACTTTTGCACTTTTAACCCCTTATTTTAGTCCGTTCAGCATCTTTTTCTGTTCGAGCACATAACGGGGTTCGGGTTGTTTCGAGTTAAAGAATTTGACGAAATAACTAGTAGTTTTAAAGCTCATCCCAATGCTTTCATCAAACCGATTGCTTTTGTCCATTTTAAGTCAGTCCAGGAGGCAGTAGAAAATGTTCAAGCTATCGTTAGTGGAAATCTCTCTGATGTGCTCAGGCAGTTTCTAAGAAGGAATGTACCGCCGGCCGACTGCGTGTTGGGAGTCAGCGACGAAAAATTGGGCAAATCTATACTGTGAGTTCTTTATATATTCGCTAATTTAAGCCTTGTGAATAATTGCTACTTATTAAATAAGGTATATAGTAAAATTATTTTAGTCCTCTTGTGCAAGTGTAGAAGTGTTAGGTGGATGTGTCGTATTTAAACTCAAATGTAATCGGTAATCTTTTCAACAAGATTATATACCAATTACTTTAACTCGGTATTATTTTTAACTTGTTTTCTGTGCCTATATAATATAGTAACTTAGGGCGACGCATGTGTACTACATCGTTGTTCCAAGTGGTGTAAGAATTGTCGCAAAATGTACGACCTCAGCAGATGTTATATGAATATAAGAAATAGCTGAAACCGGAGTGATCGAATATGGTAAACATTTAAATTGAAGTTAAAATTATAAGTCGATATTGGAGACACTTTTGATGAGGAAGCTCTTTTACGAAACATTTCTAAACATTTCGTCCTACAGTCAAGTTAAGGAATTCCACCCTTTTCTGCCCTTCATCCAACTAACCTTTAAGTCCTATATTCGTTAGGACTGTAGTACATCAAATAGGTAATTCAAAAAATTTAAATCAATGCTTGAAGGACTGACCAAAAAACGTTTAAGAACTACAGCACTGTTATTGTCGTTTTTATGTGGTTATTAAATCATTTCCCGATATCCTAATATCAAGATGTATTTCGTTCATCATATGGTGTTGCAGATTGTCGTTACTGACTCAAATGAGATGTCTTTTTTTATAAGTCACGGAACTAATGTTAAGTTGGGTAATGAATTAATTCGTCCTAAGTTATCAGAAGTTTATTTACTTACATTTAGGTGAAAATTTGAATATAATATTGTGGCACTTCAGATATACATAATTCAAGACATAAGAAAAACATTCTTATCACAGAAGAAAGAAGAGTAAGCGATAGATGAAAATGACAATAATATTAATAGTAAAAAACTAGGATTCCAACCGTAGCTCTTATCTAGATGTGTTAATCGGGCTTCACTGCAATCATACAGTTCAGCTATATCGGTAGAAACAACTGTTCCGTTAGCTCCTACCATACGAACCAGGTCAGTAGAAAATGTTAATACTGCAAAACAACATAAGTTTAAAGGATGGTGTGGCAATGTTATTCTAAGGGGTTATGAAAGTCTCTTCTGTGTTGGATTATAATAGACGGTTGATTGTGCACTATCCGACTAGACGAGACTGTAGGAACTCTGAAAGTGAGGAGCGCACTGTTGCCTATTCGTTGTGTCTGTCTACACTCACACTAACTTCTGTACAATCCCTTTTGACGTCCTTATAAAGCATAACGAGTTATATTTCTGAATTTTCTTTGGTCTTAGTGACAATAACAAAAGGAACAGCAAAGCGTTGTCCCCGAAGCTTCCTATTTTATCAGCTTGGGTTTAGCTTATCTCAGCCAACTAACAAGCTCGCTTACAGTAGAAACCCTCATATATTCTGAGTCTTGAGTTTTGCATATTAGTGAGCGGTGTTAATAGCCTTGTCAGATAAAATAGTAGTTTTCCATCTTTTGCTCCTCGTTTTTCGTCAGCTTTGTATCATGTTTATCCAAAAATAAACTTGTACAATTCATTCGTTCACATTTCAGTAGCCGTACATTAATCATGCGAATGGTTGTCTAACATGAGAATTGTTTGTTCCTCTCTGTTCACAAGATATCACAAAACTACTTGTATCACTCTGAACTACAAACCTGCGTATAAGAACAGATTTCACATACGATTGTAAACTGTCAAAAGGATGTTGGCCATTTCATCACACTCTTATATACAAAATGGAAGATTTATTGATTAGATAATTTAGTTTTTGGCTTCATAAATCTTCTAGAGTTTAGCGACTTAGTTTAATCTGTGGTACTTTAGATGTTAACCTGTGCGTAATTGATAAGTACATTCAAACAGCTTAACCTTAACTAAAATGCTTTATTTCCATTAAGATCACTACTTTCCACATTTAAAGGGCTTGTGATTTTGGCTTCGAATGTATATGGCATGGATCTGTTCACGAGGTTCTTCGGGTAATAAGACAAAGTTTTGCCCGGTTGACACGTTCGCTGATCACTCAACCTGGTGCTGCACTCTCCTTACCAATGATTGATGAAAAATTGAAACCTTCAACTAGCGCAGATGAACTAAAACCTGGACTAGTCGCTGAATCACGTGCACGGGTTGTTGTTAGCCTAGCACGTGCTCGTCTACAACTGGGAGTTGAACATCACCTGGCTGATACTGGGATTGTTAAAGTACTAATGCTGATCGACGAATTGGATAATTCCTTGACACAATCAGCTTCGCGGTTAAGAGCTTGCTACAGTATACACTTTCCAGAGGTGTGTCGACCACATTTTAAAAATCAAATTTGTCTGGATGATATGACTCTGGTCCAGTTGATAGCCTACTCCCCACTTCGTTCTTCTATAATTTCAAGCTTTTCTGCTGGAAGTTTCACGTATTTAGGTAGTGACAAACTTGCTTCCCTCATTGCAACTGCTGCTCAAGATTCTATTGGAGCTGAGCTAAGTGAGGAAGACTGTGAAAACCTTCAAAAGTATGCACAACGTTTATTGCAAATGAATGAGGTATGCATTATTGTGTCGTTTTTCATTTATTTGAATAAAACAATGCAACAAAGAATTTTAAAAGTGGAGAAACGAACCCGTTTTTTGGTAACAAGCTTTTGTTCGTGCCTGCATTCATTTGTGAGTTAAAAGCTAACAGTCATAGTCCGGACCGTAAAAAATTACATTCCTGATCAATTCATTCTATTAGGCAGTCATAAGAAAAAGTATATATTACATTTCCGTTTTAGTAAACCACAAATACTCAGGCAGTCAAAGACCATGGGAGTAGAGTCTCAAGATGTACCTAAAGCCAATAACCTAATATCTTGTTTCCACTTATCAAATACAAAATTTATTTGGTCGATTAACTAGTTACAACAAGAAACCTGGGACAAATAATTCTTAGGACAATTTTCCTCGGTAAGATAAACATGAAAATGAAAAGCGGTAATAAAAAAGATATGTACGAACTAAAGTTCAAATAGAATAATTGAAATCGAAGAATGTAAAGTACTAGATAATTTCATTCCCACCACTAAAATGAAGAACAAACCGCATCCTTATCGTTGAGACTAATTGACGTTTTCATACGTGGTTTACGGTTTTTGCGAGGACTCGAACCAGTTTTTTTGTCCCTTCAGTTATGACTCAGAGCTTATAGTAGCATGATAGACTGATCCCATGTTTGTGGTTGATTCTAACTGTACTTATGGTCCCACTTTTCTGCTGACCATTACTGTTCCCAGTTGTTGGATTTGAATGACTTAAACTAGCAACAATTTTGATAAAATATTGTATTACAAAGTTATCTCTTAAGATGTTATGCATGTATTATAACGAATGAACTAAGAAAGCAACAAACTTCAACATTAAGTAAAGACAGTATGGTGGGTTCACCGCTTGTAATGAAATTCAATAATATTTTGTGCGTATATAAATGAATACTCCATACAACATCAGATCTTAAGCCTTGTTGTTTAGACTCACTGTCGTATTACTTGTAAAGGCATTAGATGTGGAATAGCTCTAAAGAGATTGTAGGTTTCTGCTACTGTTGAAAAAAAGTATTAAGCTAGAACAACTAACAAGAATGTCTTTTGAGATGCGTATTATCCAAAAATTACAAGGTATAAATAGCTCGTAATAGGTCCGCTAATGTTTCCTTATCAAAGCCAAAGTAACATTTCGCTTGTTTCTTTTTGTTTTAGGTAAAACAACGGTATGTAGATTCCTTGTCACGACGGATAAGTAGTTTGTGTCCTAATTTGCATGCTCTTCTTCACTGTACACTTCATTCAGGTGATGAGGCAGAACAAGGAAAGGTTCCTAAGACTAAGGATAATTTGTCATCTTGTTTGGTTACCGCACGTCTAATATCTAATGCTGGTTCTTTCAATCGACTTGCTTCTATGCCTTCTACACGTTTACTGTCTTTAGGGGCATCAAAAGGATTATTCAGGTTAGTTGTATTGGGGCTCTAATTGACTGAGTTACTGATTAATAAATAAACAGATATTATGACATAAAGGCTTTGAATAAAATGCAAAGGAACGTAATATAAACTAAGTGGTAATATTATGAAGATTTAAGGAGTGAAAATTGTAGAATCCCAACAAGAGTAGCAATATTAGAAGATCGACTTCAAATAAAAATAAGATCAAAGCAAAATTCAGGCTCAAAAGTGCACACTATTATTTATACTATATAATATATATTATACATAATATAGTCATTATTAGCTTCTCTTCTGAGCCGTATCCAATGAGATACAGAATCTCAAGACCCTATCTAGCTTCTTGTGATGTCAGCTATTGCTAACTTGACCCAGCTACTCGCCCCATCGTAACTACTCAGCTCCACCTAGTCTTAGAGTCATACAATCATGGGCAGCATCAAAACTACTGTGACAACATCGAAGCATGTTTCAAGATAGAATCACTTATTGGTTTTAGTTATCCTCATATATTTGACGTTAACACTACGTTTATCATATCTGGTCCGCCGATTGTTTAAGTGGACTTATACGGCATCTGTCACTGCTCATTAAATGATGTCATCCACGCAACAAGAAAAGAAGTATCTCCGAATTACAGATCCACTAAGTTGTAAATGTTTCCAGTATTTCACCGGCGGTACATTCCTAATTTAAATAATCAAAAGTTCTCATGCATAATGTAGGAAGTATTTGTCGAGATAGTTGATCCTCAAATATTCATTGAGAGCTACACGGCTTCACCACTTAAAGATTGGTGATTGCTCACTTTTGAGAGTTGAATTACTGCTTAAATGAAATCTATCAAACTATATTTCTGAATTTATAGGAAAAGTGGTGCTGTTGTGGCTACATCTACAGGTCTTTTATCAAACGCAACCAGAATGTTGGAGGATCCGAAATTACCAACCGTTACAGACAATCTTCAACCGGCAACTTCTAGTATTTCCGCAGCTGAGTTGAAGGCTTTAAGTGCTAATCGTGTACAGAGGGATACAGTTCATCGTCGTGCTGCTCGTCTACTTGCTGATAAATCAGTCCTCGCTTGTCGTGCAGACTGTTTTCGTCAACACAATCCAATTTACCAACAGCAAGGTATTGCTTCACAACCTTGTGTTTCTGTTATAGAAGATGAACGACTCAAAAGTGGAGCATATGGTCAGTATCTTGGAAAGACTGTACAAGAACACTTGAGGATATGGGCCGAAAAGAACGGGATACATACAGACAAGACCGAGGAACAAAAAAAGGTATTTTAGAAAAGAATTGCTCTTTATGCACTTAGTATTATTCGTATACAACTCTAATTCTACTAACTGGAGATGTTCTTCTGTTTTAGGCGCAGCGTGAAAGAAGGAAAAAGTATCGGAAGCTTAAACGAAAGGCTTGGTTCGCCCGTAAACTTTCTAAATGCACAGAGAAGCAGCTGTCAGATGGTGTCAACAAAGATATTGAATCTATGGATGTCGATTCAGATGGTTCGACACAGTTTAGAATTATCACTTCCCAAGCGGTAAACAATGGAGATACACTTAATAATGCGAAAACAGGTGACAGTTATAACACAGATTTGAATGGTAGATGTTTAGTAAACTCCAATGAGCTCTTAAATTCGTCAACAGAAAAATCTTGTTTTCGTAAAAAAGGTCGGAGTGCAAATCACTGCAACAAATAATTTCCGCTAAATAATAACATTATGATTACAAATTCTATTGTAAATAACTTGGACTTTGCAAGTTGACATTTGATTGTAAGGCATTTTGCACATATAAAAAATCTGATTCTAATGTCCAAAAAGTGATATTCCTGACAGCCATTTCCATCAGTGTTGCTCGTACACAAATACCTAGCAAATGGGTTTGTTCATTCATAACGTCAAACCTCAACAGGCTCCATTAACTATTGATTTGTGCTACATCTGCAAAACACCCATACGATATTGAGGTTTAGTGGTTCACTTGAACTAGCCTCGTCAATTTGAGGAACCGGAACAACTTACCCAACCTGTATTTGCGATCTGGAACGCTACTTCTTATGGTCTTGCTAACAAAGGTATAGCGTTAAGTTTGAAACCAAAACAGGCTTTTCTGTGTTGTTTTATATTGGACGGTTGCATGTGCACTATCCGACTAAACGAGACTGTAGGAACTCAGAAAGTGAGGAGCACACTGTTGCCTATTCGTCGTCTATGCCCACGTTCACACTAACTTTTACACAATGCCTTCTGATGTCCTTCAAAAGATAAACACTCAAATGCAGTAGTCGTAGCAGCGGTTTCAATGGATAAATAGGTGGTCTACATCCAACTGAAAAGTACTTTGTTGGGTACTACGGTGTACTGGTCAATAAATAGGCAACGACTGCCGTCTAGTGCTACTATTCTCAGGTAATAGTTTATCTATATCAAATGGCAACTCCAAGCATAAGAAGAGATTTCGTCTGGCATAGCGATCCCCGAAATTGACGCCATGATGGTGTAGAGGCCCTTTGGTTTGTTGTCATCTAGATCGGACGATGTTCGTCGAAGGGCTCTCCACTTTAGTGGCCCGAGATCTGACTCCAAGTAGGTCGTATGAATGTTTGTTATCGCCTATCCTCGTATATAATCATTGACTTAAATCTCGTTAGTCATTAACGGAATTAAATAAGTCAAATAACGAGAATGGAACTTTGGATACATAGATTTTGTATAATCATTGATCAGACAAACGAACGGGGGAACGATGCGAAGAGAAGAAAGGGAAGCAAAAATGATGCGCGGTGATGTCGGGTGAGCCAACTCTCCCTTTAACCAAGAGTTAATCAGTATTTATAAGCACACAAAAATAAGTTACAGACATGTGGGAGTAATGGGATAAGAAGTGTATACACGCCTACGCGCTCATATAAAAACAGTCAAGATTGATAAGCGGATAACTAACAAGGTCAAAATATGACTCAAATAGAATGAATAGAATAGGCTGTCCGAAAGTTAGAATAAGGTATTTGGGCTTAACATAATAATAGAGACACTACAATGGACTCAAATAAACCACATCGTCTTCGTTTATCATCAGAGGCTCGATAGAGAATCGTCGGTCTTTCTGAAGCACATGTTTAAACTCGAATCACGCTCTTGTGCGAGCACATATCTACTAGCGTTTTACTGGATTCAGAAAATCCAGTAATTGATAAAAAGTCAAGGAAATACTCCAGAAACAACTAGAGATGTCCTTTAACAATCATCGAAATGGTGTCCACCTCAATGTGGGTTGGAATAGTATTCGAACAGCTGTGATGTCTATCAGTGACTCAAACCAAAACATTATGAAAAGTCAGTGAATCCCAGTGGTGTCAATTGAATTGGTCGATGCTAAGAGACATTCCATCAGGTTAGGAATAAAATGAGAAGTGAACACTATTTAAACATAAAGTGTACCTAACGCTCGTGACCAGTGGTTGTAAGCGAAAGCAAGAGCAGTTGTAGATAATGGTAGACAACTTTCCAAAAAAGGTGTCAGAAATTAAGCTGTTAGTGGGACTATTTCTAAAAAACATGTAACCATGATTTATTCTCAGATCAGACGACCAGAAAGATGGTCAGAACTCTTTGAGGGACAATTCAACTGTTCTCAAGTTTTTAATTATTATGAAACAATTAGAGTGGGGGATCGAAATAAGCCTCACAACTTTTAGTAAGACCGGAAAGGTTGTGGTCAATTATTAACCCTAAAAATCTTTAAGAATGATAGTCCAGTTTAAGCATTCATATTGGTTGAAATTAGCTAGAATCTAGGAACCAACATAATCCCACTTAACTGGTCCTAACCACTAACCATCCTAGTCAATAAGGACAAAAATCCTCTTGTAATAACCATAAAAAAAATTAGTTTGACTGATACTAATTCGAGAAAATAGTCATCTGGTGCTTAACCATCACTTGAAGACATTGGGTGATGTGGCACGGACGGATTCACTGTCATATAGATTGTGAGTTTCAAAATTACCTAATCCTTTCCTATTTCACGAATTCATTTCTCAACTTGTGTCGTGTATGCCTAAACTTTCTTACTACCACTGATAATGTTATTTCTTCCACCATTCTGGCGTTTGTTTTGATAAACTCATCTCGATGTACTAATGTGATATCGCAAATGGAACTGACGTACATACATGTCAGGTCCTACTTTGCTTATGACTGACTAAATCTAATCATATTCATACTCACAAAAAAGTCGCTTAGTTACCGCATGCGAAGCTTTTCGCCTAGACTACAGAGCTAATAACTTTTTTGTTGTTGATCTCAATTTTAGTTAAGGAAACTTTAGAGATTACGTTCAGTTTTATCATCTAAAATTATCTTAGGATTACTTTATAGTAAATGATAACTATTCATGGCTAAGAAATCGACCGATTTTATAGTACCGTTTAAAGTGTAATACTCATTAGAGCTTATAGACGACGCGTTTATAAATTGACTTTATACGAGAATCACTGGTAATAGGATACTTATGCTGTGAAACTTAGTCCGAAATTCATTATACTCCAGTGTATCTTGAAGTGAATAACGTAGGATTTAGTCGTTTTATACGTTAATATTCCAATTTATTTTGTTCGGTTAGTTTTTAAACAAAAATAAGGGAAAAATGAAGTCAATTATAATCTAGACAGTACACAAGTATACTTCGACCATATCGAGAATGAGTTAGTATGTGGGAGAAAAACAGCTCTTTACATAATTTGTAGTCCCAAGATACTAAAAGTGTTTGTACATATTTGTATGTATTAATCAGATGATCGAACATAAATATAAACCTTGGTTTTTGGAAATGTCTATTCGCTCCATCCACTGATGAAATGTAGTAGTTTTCCAACCACAATCTTGGGTTTTCATAGAACATCTCAGCCTCATCGTTATACCGATAACTATCTGATATCAAATTTGTCAAATCTGGATTACATGACAGTTGCTTAAAAGAAATGTTTCGATGTAGATATCTGAAAAGAAAAGAACGAATGAAGAAATCAGTGCATTTAGGCATCAATAAGGCAGTACATTTCCATTTAGTGAGCTCTCTCATAATAATAAGCTGAAATAGTTGCTTATGACTGTAATACTCAATAACTTTACAGAAGTTTAGTAATAAAAGTGCAGAAGTCTGGTTTGGTGATTACAAATGCTTCGTCATTACATAGAATGAGGTTCCGGTATATGCGTGACTCTAGCATATCTATTTGTATATGAACAATTTTGGTTTAATTTTATATACATTTATTAACCGTGCTATGTTAATACTAGAAGCTATTCCAACATGCAACGATACAATTCTGTGGGGTGTATGGTTGAGTGAACAAGTAATAGCCTAATTACAAATTAATTACTCAACTGTTTATAGTATCAATGTTTAAAGCTAAATAACTTACCCTACTGATGGGACTGTATGACACGGCATCAAATTCAGAGCAGTTACAACCTCATTTCTAGGTTGATTTTTCAATATTTGTTGGTTCAAAAATTTTATTGAATCAAGTCCCCCACGCTGATGCACTAAGCATGTATATAATGCCAATGGAATATGTGTCAAAATGATGAATGACACCAAATATTGGCGGCGTCGGGTATCCTGATTGTGTAGAAATTTTAGTTTGAATCCGTAACGAACGAACCACACTGATATAATACCAGAAAAATACATAGCTAGCGGGATTGATGGGAAGATAAATCTGAATTCTTTGTGCGGCAAGAAACTGGACATTAAAGAGAGAGAATTACCTTCAACTAGGAACGTAAAACTTTAAATACACAAAGGTGACTTCTGATCATGTTTGAGTTGATAAAGAGAGCCAGATGAACGAGTAAATATTTACACTAGGTACAAAACAGGCATTGTGGCAACAGTAACTGAGACGACGCGCTAGCGTTCTCCACTTATCTACTGAGAAAAGTGGACGGATAACCAACCTATTTTTGTTTGGTATCAGCCGAACTGACAATAGATGCTGAATTCTGGAATTTTATATCACACAAAGTATTCACACGCCAAGCCCTTTCATGAGTTAAATACATAGTAGCCCATGAGCGACCCAGAATAGTTTTGACCTATAAGTAATTTCATCACTTACTACTGTAGTTAAGTTTCCTGAGAATTAGTTACATATACCGTCATTGATTCAATGTTTTTATTCACCACTAACTTTCAGTGCTAAGAATTTTTCATTAGACCTTTATAATTAACTGTTACTGGCCAGTTTTTTTTCACTTGTCAGTACTTGTGATTATAATAGTGTATCTTCGTGTGGATTTCAACAGCTCAAGATGTTTCCCTTTTTTGAATTATACTATGATTAACTTTCAAACGTTTTGAAATTGAAAGAGGTTTCACAGGATTTGGTTACCTTCAATATCTGGTGATTTGTTATTGATTATGTTTACTCCTACAGCTAAAAAAGACAAAATAAGTTGTTGATGCTGATTAAAGGAAAAGAAATTAGTTACTGCCACTCAGTATATTTTAAACCAAATTAAAATTATATTCGGCATAAACATGGTTATCACGCGTGCCCCACGTTTTCATTCAGATAAGCGGTTATTTATTATCCATGATTACGCGATGTGCAATAAACTAGTTAGGCGATTAATCAATGATCTAAACTTACCTATAACATATTATAGTCCATATCATGACAATAATACACAAACCACATGGATCACGAAACATCTGGTTACAAGAGTTGTTTGAATAGTCTATCTTCTTCCTCGCTCCCGCGAGATCTCTTACAAAACATGGACCATATTTAAAATACATAACAATAAAGGTCACCACCAAAGGTGTTTGCGTTAACAACATAGCTGCAAATCCTTGGGATATGTACCAGTGCCAAGGCTGGACATCATAAAATCGTGATCCACCAGAAAAAATATTGAACTTAATAAAATTCCACTGGTTGATCATCCACTGATTAAATGTCCAACGATCCAGAACGCAAGAGAACGTAAAACAGGGCACAATTATACTTAAGTAAATTCCAATCTGACAGATAAAATGGTTTAGAAACCATTTTGTCCTGTATAATAAAGCCATTTAAATATGGAAGAAAAGATATCCTGAATAGAGGGGCTTAGTTAATTTATGCAATTCGTATATAAAATTCGAAAAGGTAAAATACTTTAACGGTCACTCAACGCATTTGCTGAATAGTGTATATATCAATGTATGTATTGCATGGAGATTCAGCAAAATTACGGATCGACATGTACTATAGTGGTTTAACAGAAACACACATCTACCATTCCAATGTACAACGATCTCATGGAGTCAAAGGAACATAAATTTAAAGGTTTATAATACAAATTGATATCAATCGGGCAATATGTACCTCTTCTGTCTTTGTTATACTAAACCACCACTCAACACTTCCTGACCTTATCAATCAATTTCAAATATGATAGCTTTTACTGGAAAGGCTTTTGAAACGAAATAAAACGGTTATCAAAATAAAAAACTAAAGTGTCTTGTCTCACTATAATTCAAGTGATTTTTTTAAAATAATTCATTAGACATTAACACACAAGTCTATCCGTGTTAAAAAAAGTAGTTGAACGAAACAAAAATTGTATATGATTGGTTCATTAATGAAACATTCATTATTGAATGTTAAATATTGTATTGAAAACTAGAGCCTTTTATTTTTACCACATGAGTAAAACGGATAATTTAAGTCAAGTAATCTTTGTACATATAGTAGTAGTAAAGGCATAACGTGTCAGAGTTTATCATTGAACCAAATTAAAACTACATAATGAGCCGTACATACCCAGAATACTCTTGATATTCTTCAAGATTATGATTATTATCCTTATCTAGTGTACTAGCTATCATACACTTTCGCCATATATGCCAAAAACATAAAGGGAACCAAATAATCAAAGCTGTTGGACGTATTAGAACACAGACTACTGCAATAAAAATGAACCATTTCGACTGATTATGATAGTTGGATGCGGTTAATTGAATAAACTGTTGATCTGTTTGGCATATCACATTCCATGGATAATAGGATAAACCAATTATGCACAAACACCATTCAATACAGTTTGATAGACTTCGTGGAGCACAATATATAGTAAACCAATTACAAACATGATGAAACAATGTCCACTGTAATCGTTTTGTCAAAAAGGAGCAAAAACAATTAAGGAGATAAGACAATAAATTGAGGAATTCAAAACTCAAAAGTATATGCGAGATGGATCGTATAAGCGCACTACGAAGTGAGGTTGCTGAGGGAAGAGTTTCCGGTGATGTACAATTCATTTCTTTTTCAATGATTTACTTATTACTCACAGTACCAACCGTTCTAGTATTGACTACGCAACTAGATTTCCGAAACGAGTTTTGCACTCCATCAAAAACTCAATCATAAAGGTTGACAACTTATTTTACGTAAATGGAAATCATGTAACTCATTTGTACATGTTCTTTAAAGTTGAATATGGTTTGTAACCAGAAAGACAGAACTGACTAATGTGCATTTGTAACAGTGTTGATGGCACAAGTAAATGGATTAGGTGAAAATACTTTTCGGTTCTCAATTCAACAGATTTTACCTTACAAAACTCCACTTCTTATCTACAATCTACATTCAACATACTGTTGACAGACAATGGCATCCTAAGATACTTCACTTATCACATATATATATATATATATATATATATATATATATATATATATATATATATATATATATATATATATATATATATATATAAAGTCCCTTGAGCCTGTTTTAATAGATAAGTTCGAAATACACACGATTAGAAAGCTCTTTACATTTGACAATCAATATTATTGAGCAGAACATATCAAAACAAGATCAGGATTACAGCTTTAAGTAAAGAGAGGGGAATCAGTCTGCGAAAAACTAATTCGAAGAGAATATTCATCCTCAACTAAAATTTATCAGAAAATCACAGTTTCTCCTTAGTTTGTTATCTCTCAGCAGTACCATGGGGTAATTCTAGATAACCGAGCAGGAACCATACAGTTTACACTGTAATTCAATCCATCCGAGATATGGTGCGGGCACCATATCCTATCATCGGTGGGTAACTGCGTTAATGTCAAGGTGGTTAAATACTGAATATGTGTTATGAATGGGAAACTAGTATAGCTTGTAGCAATATACTTAAGTTTTTTCATCCACCGAAATTACTGGAAACATGATTATTTTTTACCCGTTTTAAGTGCATTCCTTCATTATACCTTTAGTTAGGGATACTATTTTTATGTTCCACATTTCTTTTCTGCTAAGGTTTCTATGTGGATTACTGTACAACACTAGTTGTGATTTAAAATGAAATTATACAGAATATGAATTTTGACACAATTCTTCAAAAGACAAAGTCTTAATCCCATTCTTCTCCAAACGAACAGTGAAATGTCATAATGATCATACTATTCTATAAGGAACTAGTGTAAACGACCGATACAAATTCCATGTTAAATAAGTACAAACACAATTCAAATAAGCAAACATATACTTTGGCTATTTCAAATCCAGATAGTTGTTTGATAAGTTTATACAAGTGAAAATCAGCAATAGCTGCAAAAAAACCATGCAGAATTTGAGGTGATTTCATTATCATCCACTGTGAATCAGCACCAAGAGTTGCAATCACTTTATATATGAAGCTAATCAAAAGTGGATGAACAGGACTCCGAAGTGCGATTTTTGGTTCCCATTCCCAAGTGAGTGTTCCATATCTGTATAAGGAGAAAATAAATAACTAACACAAGCAATTTAGTTAACGATACAATATCCTACGTTTACCGAACTTCTAATTTTGTTCAGGTAAATTTGTATTAAGCATTATCTTCAAAAAGCCTCTGAAAAACTAAACTAGACAAACCCTGGAGAAATGCAAGTATCGATTAGAGGGCCCATTTTCAGATGAACATGTGGTGCCCATTAAGTAACTTAGTGGTCTAGAGGACGATGACTGAAGAAACATATGATTTAGGTAAAATCTAAACTAAGCTGTTAATACCTTCCCTTCAATACTAATAAAAACAATCGATAACAACAATTAGTGAAGTGTGAACACTATTTCGGTGGATTTCCAGAAAGAAAACCTTAACTCTAAAACTTTCTGTACACAAGTATTTCAAATGAGATAAAGATACAATCAAGAAAAAAGCAAAATGAATGAGAATTTCGCAATGAACCAAATCCCAAAGTAATGTTGAATTAGTGAGACATATGATCCGGACTAAAAGTAACAAGTATAATGAAAATTTTAACCAACACCCTTTCCTCTTTATGCTCTGTAAGTTTTGAAGTTGCATTTTAGCTTACTAACCTTTTAATATTCTATTTAATCCAATGTTTATTGGGCTAAACGACTTCAGAACATTCAGCTTAAAGTAATTACTTACAAGTAAACATATATTTTCATAAAACAAATCATACAATTTAAAGTATCCTAGTGTTAGCGGGACATAGACTGGATTAAATCATGCTCAATGCACGATTGCGTTGGCGCACGCTGGTTGGCTAACACTTGTCCAATCAGCGCTAGCCGATACTTGGAGAATACTCTAGAAATATTCTCATGTAAAAACTAAATATATTAACGTTTTTTCTATTGTGCTTCTCACTTCCATCTAACCTTGTTATTTGGAATATAACCTCTTTCCTGTTCAACCGTGTTCTGATTTAGGGACTTGTCGAGTAAATCTGTGTCCGAGAATACTAAGCAATAGGAATAGCTGGGTTATAACCGTAAGAGAGAATTATAACACCTAGTGAGAACAAGACTTTGCTTAGTGTTTTAACATTATTAATTTTTCTGAATGTTTCAGAATAAAGACTTCATCAAATATCTATGTTGCTCATAGAAGCTTACAGATTTCAAATATAAAAAATGTACACAATTAAACTAGTAGAATGGAACTAATTTTAAGCATGCTGTAATTCGGGCTTACCCAAACACCCATTTATGTGCGACTTCGATAGATTGCCAATATTCATCTGGTACATAAGATGTTTGTATTAATAAAGCATTAAAAAATCGAAAAAGTAATAAGCATACAAATAAACGCGAAGAATTGCTGAATATCAGTTCCATACAATGAAAAATATTCCTGAAATCAAAAAAGCAGTTAGTTCAGGACAATATTGCATTCTAGAAAAGTTGTGCCAAAAATAAAGTACATAGTAAATGACAGACAGACAGCATCAACATAGAGCCTGGAATAAATGTGCGTTGTCCTAAGTTCCCATATCTGGTTTGAAGATCGAGAAGAAGATAAAAAGTGAATGATTCTAAGCTCAGTCTTTCGACGTATTCAAAGACTGATTGCAGTTATCATCAAGTGAACCTCAGTAACATGACTCAGACTTTACGGACTGATGTATGGTTTTGGTTAGACCACCTCTTTATTCCAACATACTTCTGCATTAACAGGCATCGCTCGCTGAAGTAGGTGGCGGTCAAACATACATAACAAATATCCCAACCACCTCAATCGGTAAATCATTACAACCTGACCAACCGATTTGCCATCATGTCAAGTACCTTATGCCTAAGATAAGAGTTCAGCTTAAACTGCCTTTTGACACGAGGTATAGTTCGTCATCGAGACGAATTTTTATAACACAGGCTGTGGTCGCTGATTGTTACAGTGCATGATGAATGACAGGAAATTCTTCATAGAGTAATTAGTTTGAATAATATTTCGTTTAGGATATTAGCAACGATACTCATCCGAAACACAGGGGCCATAAAGAGCAAAAGAGAGAAAATCGAATTCATTCATCATCCATCAGGTTTTCAAAGAAACATATTTACAATTGTAATCTTATCTATTAACTCCATTGATCGATAGGTCTTATAATGTCTGTCATTCAATGTTTACTAAAATGGTATATTTTTTATTTATTCGAGTGCCCATTTGATATCTCAATGATTCCTCAACCTAATACTAAAATTCACGAGAATCTTAAATGAAGATTTCGTTCGACTATGAGAAGTGCAAATGTAGATAATGTCGAATACACTTGTCTTGAACGTCTAGTTAATACAATGGCTGGTGAAATCTCGAAAGCAGCACAGAAAGTTCAATTGGTTTCTACCAACTTATGTAACCTGTTGGACAGACGATATATCTAACTGCCAACCAATGGGTTAATACACTGTACCGTAGTTCACTGTTTTATTTTACAGCTGACTTATCAAAAGTAGAATTTTTCAAGCTTCATGTATTTGATCATCGATGTCTTCGAAGGATCAGTTACATATTGTGAAACTACATAGGGAATAATGTTGAGTTTAGACGGAGAATAATAGACAGAAATGGAAAATCAGTGGATGAAACCGAATTGTCATCGACTACGGTGGGTGTGAACTCCGCCTGGAGTCCCTTTCCGGGGGCTACTGCCGGTCCCAAGCCCGGATAAAGGAGGAGGGTTGGGCATGGGGTTAGCGACCCCATCCCGTAGAAAACTAACACGCTAAAAAAACGCTAACCAGAAAAAATTATTCAAACCATTTAAACTCTGCCCTGGGAGTCAGGAGGTCTTCGTTTAGAAGAATTATGACGCCTCATGATGAAAGCCGAGTTTCTTCGGAAGTCACGAGGCCGATGCCCCTTCTGACAACCAGAGCAACCATTTATTTAGGTACATGGAATGCTCGCACAATGTCGGAGACTGGGAGAGTTTTCCAAATTGCTGCAGAAATGAGGAGATACAATTTAGAGGTGCTTGGGATCAGTGAAACACATTGGACGCAAGTTGGACAACAACGACTAGCTTCAGGGGAGCTGCTGTTATACTCCGGACATGAACAAGAAAATACCCCACATACACAAGGACTTGCATTGATGCTGTCCAAACAAGCACAAAATGCACCAAGGATCATCAAAGCCTCCTTCAAAACCAAGAAAACGGGGATTACAATGAACGTCATCCAATGCTACCCGCCTACCAATGACTACAATGAAGACGCTAAAGATCAATTCTACGATAGGCTGCAGTCAATCGTCGAGAAGTGCCCAACAAAAGACCTGACAATTCTGATGGGAGACCTAAATTATTATTATTATTATTTGAACACATAAATATTGGTACAAGGGGGGCACCAAATATATATGCGCCACACAAAACAATGATAATTTGAAGAGAAGGAGAAAAGAGAAAAAAAAATAAGTAATGAACGTGGGGAATTATAAAAAAAAGGGAGAGAGACAGAACAATGGTGGGGGAAACGGAAAGGTACAGTCAGAAGAGATCTTTCAGTTAAGGAAGATACAACCACTTTTTATGAAGAAAGTAAAAGAAGGTTACAGCAGGATCGCCACTGGCTTCTATTCTGAGCCATATCTAATAACGTCTCTAGCCACTGCGTTACACCGTCTTTCGGACCCCAACCAAGGAGTCGTGAAGGACCAACACAAGCCAGCCCTTTGCAGCTTTCTTTCATACCACGACACCATGTCATATACTGACCACATCTCCGCTTTTTCCAACCAGTCCCAGAGTCGGCAAATAATGCACGACGTGGAATTCTCTGGGACGACATTCGTAGAACATGTCCAAGCCACCAAAGTCGGTGTTTCAAGATGGTGACACCAATTGCATTATCGTCTCTGTGACCGAACACTTGATGCCGAACCTCTGCATTACTGACATGGTGTGGCCACTGGTTGCCAGCAATCCTTCGGAGACAACGATGATCGAACACAGAGAGTCGTCTAACATCCTCAACTCGGAGAGGCCAGGTTTCACAAGCATAGAGCAAAACTGCTCTCACCGTCGCGTTGTAGATCCGACCTTTTACAGCCAGACTAACATCACGAAGGCGCCAAAGATGGCCCAGATTGGCATAAGCCGCTCTGGCTTTCACTATACGTGCATTGATCTCATCACTCACACCACCACCAGCACTTATGGAGCTACCCAAATACACGAACTTCTCGACTACTTCAATCTGCTCACCATCCAGAGTGAGTACTGGATTAGAATCCTGCCAGTCTTGTAGAAGAACTTTGTACTTCGAAGGTGCAAAGCACATACCATACCTACGGACACTGATTGCCAACTGATTAAGTGTGGATTGCATGGCTTCGGCATTCTCGCACAGTAAGACAATATCATTCGCCTACTCAAGGTCGGGAAGTCTTTCTCCAGGCAACAGATCCACACCACCATTACTTACATCCGTCAGAGCTGTTTCCAGAATGTCATCGATGGCAAAGTTGAAGAGGAATGGTGAGATTGGGCAACCCTGCCTAACCCCACTGCTTGAATGGACCAATGGAGAGGGGTGGTTGTATGCCCTCACTCTACCCGAGGTGTTTGTATATAGAGCCCTCAGGATGTTAATAAACTTCTCGGGCACACCCTTCTTCAATAGACAATCCCAAAGAGCAGTCCTGTCCAACGAATCGAAGGCAGCCCTGATGTCAAGAAACACTACGATTGTTGGTTTGTGATAAATATGACGGTGTTCTAACATTTGGCGGAGGGTGAAGATATGATCAATACATCCTCGACCAGAACGAAACCCAGCCTGCTCCTCGCGAGTCAATCTTTCTCGGGTTCTGAACAACCTACGAAGTATGACGGAAGCCAATAGCTTGGACGCAATCGGAAGTAGACTTATCCCCCGATAGTTGTTACAGGAACAACGTGAACCCTTTTTAAAGATAGGGACAACTATCGACTCATTCCATGACGTTGGTACACTCTCTAGTTCCCAGACCTTTGCAAACAACGTCGTCAGCTCCTTAGTCAGAAAGTCACCACAATCTTTAAAAAGAGCCGGAGGTAAGTCATCTGGGTCCGGTGATTTGTAAAGTTTCAAGAGTTGGAGTTCCTTGCGGACTTCCACCTCATTTGGTGGATCAGTCATCACCGGCCATGGAGGGCAGGACAGTCTGACCGATGTTGCCGGAGCAGCAGGCCAGTTGAACTGCCCTTCAAAGAATTCTGCCCATCGTCCAAGACGTCGATGGATGTTAGTGATTGGCGTTCTGTCATCCTCGCAGATTGTTTCGCTCACACCAGACTTCTTGCTGCTAGTGTCTCGGATGAGTTGGAAGAGCTTCCGGTAGTTATCAGATGCAGCTGCTACTTCCAGCTCGTTAGCACGCTCCAACCACCAGGCTTCTCGGTCCTTACGCAAGCTTTGCCCGATTTCATTACGTAACATCCTTCGTCTGTGGTCAAACTCACGGTCACCCGAAATGGACCGACGGGCTTCAATGAGTTGTAAGGAACCAGAAGAAACCCAGTGCTTGTAAGCGGGGCGTTTCGCGAACCCACAACAGACTGTACCCGCCATTTTCATGGCGTCATGCAATTGCAACCAATGCTCATCTATACTTTTCGGTGGAATGGTAGCTAGCCTACAAGCTAGCTCGGTTCGGTACATACTAGCAACAGAAGTTGCAGCCAGCTTGCTAACATCAATCCTTTAGTGGCGGTCACTCCATCAGCCACTGAAAAGTAAGGTAAGATTGGCGCAGACCAGAGCATGATCAGATTCCAGATAGGTACTCCAAAAGGAGCGGCAGTCTTGTACACAACCGCGCCAGCGGTAGCTGATCACGATGTGATCAATCTGAGTCCAGGCCGGAGATGCAGAAGGGGGACGCCAGGTAGCACATCGGTGATGACTATGCAGAAAGTTAGTGTTAGCCAGAAACAGGTTGTGGTCTGTGAATAGTTGCAGTAGACGTTCCCCGTTATCTGTCCTGAGACCGACGAGTCCCCATCGGTCACCTAAACGACTCTCTTCTGTGCCTAGACGCCCGACCTGAGCATTCAAGTCTCCAGCTAGTACTACAATATCTGTCGAACGCACTTTCTGGAGAAGAACAGTTAGTTGATGGTAGAACTCGTCCTTGATTGCATCCGGGCTGCAATCTGTCGGGGCATAGGCGGAGATGACGAAAAGACATTGTTTCTCACGCCGATTTGTTCTCAATTTGATGGAACTTTCTAATCTAATACCACATAACCGACCGTTAATGGGGATCCAGTGGATTAGTGCTGTCTCAGCTCTAGCGCTTAGCGCGACACCAACGCCAGCAAGACCAGACGAAGATGCCACAGGGTCCCCGGATAAACGCACATAAAAC